GCATTTACTGCACGTTTCAGTAAGGCCAGGCTAGTTGGTCAAGAAGAAACCTCACTTGTTTTCTGGTATAGTTGACTTCTAAATCTTGGTCTCATTTGCTCGAAATATAGGCAAAGTTATATTTTCTAGAAGCCATCACTACATTTTACCTAGCACGGATAGTAGTATGTATATGATTGCATTCCTTTACCCTCAGTCATTTTTCATAGCCAACACTTGAAGAACTGGATCCTTGTCAACTTAATCATTAAACAAATCATTGTGATTTTTAGCTTATCCTTTCAGTTAAAATTGTGATCCATTCTCGTGTTTGCCAGTTATTGCGATAATCGGAAATAGACATCATGTGTTTTGCTTGGGTTTATTTTGTCTTTATACGCTTCTATAGTCTTGGAGCATATAGATAATGTCCATCTATCGAGTTCTGTCGGAGAAGCGCATTTTAATTCTGTGAGTGTATCTTGAAGATTCTTGGTGTAGGACAACGATATATGGCATAAACGTCTAAAATCCCACTATATTTGCATACCTTCGACGGTATTGGTTATATATGAGCTCAATAAGTAGTGTTCTTTGTTGTCACAACTCAATCGTTACATTATCTTTCATTTATTCTAACTTGCTAGGAATATTTTATTATTCTAGCTTGAACAAAATCTTGTTTTTATTCTTATTGGTCAATTAGGCGGCCAGAGGCGTCAACAAAAGCGTAAGCGTAAATTTACCTACAACTTGCCCTCGATGCGACGGGAAAAAGGCACAGCCTGGAACTGGCGTCGTTACTTGTCCGAATTGCAGGGGTTCAGGAACGGAAACAGCCTATACCGGACCTTTTATGTTGCGTTCTACTTGTCGAAGATGTCAAGGCAGTGGCCAAATAATTCGTTACCCGTGCGTAGAATGTCAAGGGACTGGTCGAGTTGTGGATAAGAAAGTAATTTCAATTGCCGTTCCTCCCGGTTAGTTTTGCCTTATTATTTTCCGTTGTTTCCATTAGTTCTCTTATCTACTTTCCTTTATAGGTGTTGAAGATGGCCAAACTCTTAGGGTTTCTGTTAACGGTGTACGGGGCTTTACCTCTCAAGAAATTTTCGTAACATTTAATGTTGAACGCAGTCAATATTTCCGCCGAGATGGAGCTGATATACATTCTGATATCACTATATCGTTGGCTCAAGCTTCGCTTGGAGGCCAAGTTCGCGTACCTGGAATTCATGGTCAAATGTTAGTTAATGTAAGGCTATCCTTTTTTGGTTTCTCGTCTATAACCCCTAACAACTATCCCTGATCCGCATTCTTTACTTTAGGCTCTGTTTTTAACTGTGGCCTATACTAAAAATATCACTTACTATCAAATTGATTGTATTTTCTTGACATCGTTTTCGCAACTTGGTCGGAGTGGTATGGAGACCTTATAGAACGTACCTAGTCCTTCATCTTCTGATGTAATATCTATTATGGTTTTCAGCATCTGACCGTTGACTCCGACCAAGTTGCGAAAATGAAGACAAACCATCACTATGCAGTTAAAGGAGAGTGACCAAACAAAAGGCCACATCAGGTTCATGCTTTTATTTTAATTTCTTCAGTGACATTTTCACAGTGGTGTTCAGAATATGGCTAAGATCATTTTAGGCTAATTGTTTTCGATGAAAATTCGTTAGTGCATATCTAGGTCTCACTGTGCCTATAATTTGCTAAATGTGAGCCTAGCACTCGTTTATCAATAGCACAGGACAGCTCGCCGATTACCATTATGCTAGAATCGTCAACCATGTTGTGCATTCACACTTCAAGGCAACCTCCATTCAGTTCATATTGCAACGTATCTGCAAAGATCTTCCGCCAGGTTTTTCAAATAAAAGTGAACTTAATCTGTTACGCGCTCTTGGCAGAAAATTTCTAAGTTCATTATTTTAGTATAATTGAGACCTTCGTTTTTAACATTGGACGTGGCAGGCTAGCTCCATCTTATTCACCTTTTAGTCTGAAACAGGAGAGATTATTATTCAACTACACTCGCAATAGTATAATCTCATAGAAGTTGTTTGACCTTGTTTTCGCAACATGGTCATATTGGTAGGAAGACTTAGACGAACGCATCTAGTCCGAACTCCATTGTTTGCATGATCATTTCCAAAGTTGAACTGTGGACGTGGTACATTCCCAAACGTTTCGCCGGCATCGTCAGTG